ACACAGGGTTCCAAGCAACAGATGCAAACTCGAGTACAGTACGAACAAGACTGTTATAAAGGATTATCCTAGTTTCGTGTCGTTGAAAACCCTGCGAATTACGTTTCAGAAAGCCTAACATTTGGGCAGATTTTTTAACAATTCCATCAATATGAGATTTTTGCGAACTATTCAATATTACGCCAAGATTGCGTACTTAATCTACCTTTCTCAATAGATTATGCAGTCAATTATTTTTCCTCGTGAAACATAACTATATGACATTTATCTCAATTTACAGTCAGACCGTTATTTGTACACCAAAGCTTTAAATTATTAAGATCTGTTTGCAAGAGACTAATATCCATAGATTTATTAATTGTCTTGTAAAGTTTTAGGGCATCAGCAAAAATGGATATGTTACTGTGTTCAATGCAGGAAGTAATGTCATTAATATAATAGAATTAGTAAAATAGAAGTTAATTAAAAGTTCGTTAGTTAATGAAATACTGGTTTCCGGTATGTGCACAGACAAAGATGTAGCGAATTTATATCAAGGAGTCAAACAACATAATTAAATTAGCATTAACTTAATGCAAAGGACATTGCTCGTTCCCCATACATTAAATGCCCTATAACGCCCAGCAATGAGAAAATGCTAGTTGTGTTCATAATCATTCATAAACTCTAATTAAGCATTTGTTGAGATACAGACAACTTGAGGAACCGTGGCCCACTACAGAATGTATTAGATTTTGAGGTTATAATTATTATACTTAATCGTAAAAGATGTACACTTTATATATTCTGAATAGATTCAGTTTTTACCTCTATGTAAGCACTTAAATAATATGCATTAAATGTACATAAAATGCAATTAATAATAAAAATAATAAATGCTTAATATATTAATATTGATTTATGAGTGTTGTCAGTTGGTACCTATGATACCTATACCTACCTGTAGTAGGTAATAATAGATTTCTTTTCAAATGAAATGTTCAGTCTTTCCATTTACCAGTTTCTATATTTTACTATCGGTAATTAGGTATGTAACTGGTTATCAATATGATTTTCATAAAAATAAACAGATATTACATGGGATGGGAGTATAAACTATCTTTACATAATTTCAGAAATAATCTTTTTATAAATATAATATAAATACTAGCAATAAGTATTATTGACTAAGGTACCTAGTTCTATTTTTATGGTCGCCTATATTGCATTTATTAAGGTAAACAATCTTGGCACAACTTTTTAACAGAATCACCCGTTTAATAATAAAATATTAACGAAGCCAATAAACTAGTAAAATAAATCGTTATTATAGACTGAAACCTATTGAATCTAGTTATAAGTTGATTTTTAATTCTGTATTTTCAATAAAAAGGAGTGCCAAGTTGGATGAACAGACTGTAGTATCTAGTAACAGAACCTTTATTTTTTATTATCTTAAACAGATTGTCCGTTTACAATGATTAATTGCTAATAAGTTAAAAAAATAATAGAAAAATAATAGTGAAGGACATTCTTTTGGGCATGCTAGGGCCGATTTCGTCGATGTCCTTTGAAAGTAACTTTTTAGGTTTGCCGTAATTTTCGCTCGATGGCGCAGGTGGTTAGCGCGTTCGGCTGCGATCGTTGTAGTTAAGCAACTTTCGCAGTGGTCGGTAATTGGATGGGTAACCAAAAAAAAAATTTTCTATCTCGAGTTCCTCCGTGCTTCGGAAGGCACGTTAATCCGTTGGTCCCGGTTGCATCTGCAGTCGTTAGCACCCGCCAATCCGCACAGGGCCCGCGTGGTGGGTCATGGCCCAATCTCCCTATTCCATCCATTGGGAAGGCCTGTGCCCCAGCAGTGGGGACATTAAGAGGCTGATGATGATGATGAATTTTAATTTATGTTAAAATTCAATATCGTTTATTCAGTCAAGGCTGTTACAAGCACTTGTGAATGTCGAAAAGCTACGCCATCGGTTCGCAAATCTACGGCAGGACCTTGTACTGAGAAGAACCTGCAAGAAACTCAGCAACAGCTGTTTTTTTCTCCCTGTATTATATACAGAGTCGTCAAATTAAAAAATGACTTCAATATGAGATAACTCACGAAGTCACTTTCCATTACAAATGTAAATGATATAACAAAAAATAAATAATAATGATTTATACCTATGACTATAAAATTAAAAAATTATAAAAACAGATTTAAAAAAGTTTACGAAAGCCGTGTCCTGCTGTTTAGGCATAAAAACTAATGTGATATAGTGCATCTGTCCAAATAAAGCCAGACAGTGTGAGTTTTGCTCTGGTCAGTTAACCAGAACAAGAGATCAATGCGTAACCATGTTGGATTTACTGATTTTTAGACCTAACAATACTAGTTACATGGTAGACTCCTAGCCCCCCTAGCATGAGCACCGCGATATGTTAAATAACGCGTTTTTATCACTGTGGATTACTATGGAGTTTGACAGTTAGGTATGAAAAAAAACATGAATTATAATGTAAATTGTGGTGCTCATACTACGGGGAGAGGAGCCAGTATGACAACAATCAAGAGGATAAGGCATTATAAATATTCAATTCAAGGGGTTAGTTGCAATGATTTTATTTATTTATTGACGTTTCGCATCCTTTGCAGGAATGCGTTGTTGGAATTCCGTATCAGGTGGCACAGGCAGGTAAAAATTTTACTTGCTTCACTTACAGTCTGAGGACTGATTCCTATGTATGTTGTAGAGAATATTGTAAACAATTTGAAATTAGTACTGCCAGACACATTCTGTCAGTAGTATTTAACGCCAGGCACTTTAAATGGTGAAAGTATCATATCATTATAATACTAATACTACTCAATTATCCATATTTTGTCCATGTGACAATAAGTAAGGTTTGGCAGTCTTTAGATCTTGTACTATAGTATAGAATAGATTGTGAAAAAAAATAATAACTGAATAATACTGAAGTGTTGAAGGTTCTCCCAATAATTACCATAACCAATTACATTAACCAATATTCTTTTTATATTTCCCTTAGTAAATGTATATTTTGCTGTCTAATGCAAAGACTACTTCTTTACTAGATTAAACCTGATTAATTACAAACGAAATATGTGCTCTTCAGGACCATTATGGACTTTAATAGTACTAGAAGATCTGATGATTCATTTTATGATTGTTGCTGGTTATTTTATACAAACCTTATCCTGCTAATGACAAACACAATATAAAAATACAAATCCAATCTAAAACTATGAGTGTCCACAATCACACATACATTTCAGCTATTCATTTATTTATTTACTAGTGGCCCGCCCTCGTTTCGCTTCGGTGTAGAGCTGTAGTGTAAACTATAGTTTTTGTTCTCAGGCTTGTGCTATAAACAATGACTTTATTTATATAATTACACGTGTTATTGTGAGTCAACCATAAAAGATAGACATATGCTGTTGCTTGAAATTTTTTAGACAATTTTATGTAGAATATTTCCGTCATACATGATTTCTATGTAACTTTAACCATTAAGGCTGCACCCGCGACGGAAGCTTAAAAATGGAGTAACTTCTCCCGTTTTCCCAACATTTCCCTTCACTTCTCTGCTGCTATTGATTGTAGCGTGATGAAAAGTATACTATAACCTGCCCAGGAGTATGAAGAATAATTGTACCAAGTTTCGTTAAAATCCGTTGAGTAGTTTTTGTTTCTATAAGGAACATACACACAGACAGACAGACAGACAGACAAAAATTTTACTGATTGCATTTTTGGCATCAGTATCGATCACTAATCACCCCTTGATAGTTATTTTAAAAATATATTTCATGTACAGAATTGACATCTCTACAGATTTATTATATGTATAGATAACATTAGAGGTAACATCTACAGAAATTTCAGTGAGCCGTATTAGATACATATTAAACACTAGTAACAGACCGCACAACTTTGTCCCAAAAACTTGTAGGGACTTAACACTTTTCCTTTAGTATTTCATCCAAGTGTTCAGTACTTTTTGCATGATTGAGTAACCAACATACAAACTTTATGATTTATAATATTAGTAGGATTCAAATAGTAAAACTTCATCATCATCATCAGCCTATTAATGTCCCCACTGCTGGGGCTCAGGCCTTCCCTGTGGATGGAATAGGGGGATTGGGCCTGACCCACCACGCGGGCCCAGTGCAGATTGGTGGGTACTAACGACTGCAGAAGCAGTCGGGACCAACGGCTTAACGTGCCTTCCGAAAAACTTCATGTTAAGATGTAATTGTAAGACTAAATGTTGAGAGTTGCCAAATCAATTTTATCCAAATTACCTATATCTTACCAGAACATTTTTAATATTTAAAACAATATTCTTGCACTACTTAGACTTAAACCAATGTGTGAAGATGTGCTATCATTGACTATTATTTACATACAGAAAAGATATTTTATAAACACGACATTTCCTTGATCAGTAAGAAGATAATTTCTCAAAGGTCTCAAGTCTTGCTAAGCAAACACAATATTATATAAATGACATTAAGCCTGCATTGTTTCATTGATAATTAAATTTGACTATAGTTAAATCGTATAGAAAAAAATTACCATGTGCCAAAATTTTACACATTTACTATGTATTTGATATTACATTAACTACATTCAAATATAACTATCACTGAAATAAAGTGGCCTAAGTGTGGATGAGATTTTGTTTGTCTCTACTCTAAACTAAACAACTTAAAATGAGGTAAAGCATGATAGTGTGAAGATCATTTATTTTGTTTATATAACATTACAAAGGTCTGTGAAAATTAAAATGATTAATAATTGAACTATGCACGGATTTTACCATTATGTTCCAAATAGAAAAATAACAAACGTGTGAATGTAGTTTTCTATACCATGTACGTCATTGGAATTAATCACTATCCATTTCCCCCACCCTGTGCAATATACTTCCTTCTTTAAATCAGTGTTCTAAGACGTTTCACTAATCTATTTTAATAAATATTATTTATACAAATCACTTACCTCGCCATTAGCTATGTTGATCGCCAAATATATATCACCGAAGGACCCACCTCCGATTTTCTTCATCATCTTAAATTTTGAATTGATGAGGACTTCCCTTCGACTTGTGCTTACTAAAAACGCCGACATTTTCGAAATCTATTTCTTCACACAATCGTACGATATAAATATTTATCAAAAACACTCGAACGTTAAATGGGTTACTATGAATGAAATTAGAAACAACAAAAGATTGCAGTAGTACAAATCCCATCTACATTTTACGTCACAGAACGAAAGACTAGGACTAGTGAAGTGAATAGTGAAGGTGAAGCAGTGACGTGGTGGGTGGTGCGCGTACCGGAACAGCTCTCTGGAGTGGCTACCTAAGTACAAATAAATAAGTCGCAGTACGTAACTCTAGCGTTGAACAAAACCGAGGAGGGGATAGCTACCCATGCGCGCGCAGCACGACTGGAGAGCCAATCGGCGCAATGCACGCCCACCAGTGCACCTCGTTTTCCCCAAAGACATCTTAATTTTTACTTCTGTGAACTAAATCAAGAACTGTTTTAAATGTAATATCATTCTATACATTTAGAGAGACACGCACACATATGGTAAAGCGATAATGACTTAAGTTCAGAAAATAAAAATAAAAACTGGCTGGAATTGAGCTAAGCTTTCAAAAGTTTTAAAGTACCTTTTTTATGCTTAATAGGCAAGGCGTTTGACCACAAAAACCTACCTTGAAAAAGTTGTAAGAATAAACTGAATTAATTCATTTGATTATGGGATTATCAATTCGTTTGGTACGTTTTTTTATATAACCAGCTATGTATTATTGAAGTGGATGAGCGAAGCATCCATAGATCAGCTTCAATGATGAAATGTCTATTACTTATTAACCTTAACTCATATCCCCATATTAATAAAACAAAGATAAAGCTTGGATTAGTTACTTCACGTTTTGTATCTGTTCATTGAATGACAAATGGCACTTGAGTTGAGTGTTATGAACAAAACACGGCGTAACTAGACGAAGCTTATTAAATTAAAAAAAAATGTTATTATCACGCTCCGCTCCAATACTTGTTGCTAGCGAAGCTAGTTTACACCAAACAGAACAGATTTTACAATCTTTAAACAAAATGAAATCGCATACACAATATTTCAAATCTGAATTACTACTAATGTAGTATTACTAAGGCGTCTTTTCAAATATACGTCAAAACTCATATTTTTATTATTTGACTATACCCAGCACTACCATTAAATCATACAGGCGCAGTTAAAGATGTTTACCGTGCGCAATGACTGAAGCCGTACTTCCGCCGTATCGTTGGAATAAAATCATACTTTAGTAAGAACTACTAACTACAGAACTAGTTTTTTGATCACTGAAGAACAGGTTTTTGGATCATATAGGAACGGAGAATCTTTGTCTATGACCTTATGATTCCTTTCTGGCTGGCAAAGCATGTCTATGGGCGAAGCTTGTATTCGTTCAGAAATTTTGGAAAGATTTTGTCGATGCTATTTGAAACACTAGAATAAATTTAAAATAAACAATTGTATTAATTTTTCTATTTTATGCCAAATAATTTTTTTCGTGAATATAATTGTAAAATTCATGTTTAGAGATTAGTTCATATCAGAATAAATACTTATAAAACATAAATTTATAAACAAGCATTAATAAAAATCTGTTACCGAACGACTTGATCAATGTTGCCTAAAAGAACTTACCATTTCTAAATAGTAGCTTTCAGACATATCCTATTACCTCTCCTCGGTTGACACATGACATGACCCCTGTGCATGGCTCTTCCTCCTTATTAATTTTGTTTTTTAAACATTGGTAGGTAGATTACCTTTTTTATGTAGATAGCTAGTTTGTAGTTCATCCCATTTTGTTGATGAATAAAATTTTTCAGTTAGAATAGCTTAAAATTGCACATTTTTATTGGTATTTGAATTACTCTTTGATCGAGGTTAGGCATACGTAGCAGGTATAAAACATCTATGTACTTATAAATTGTTGTAAATACCTAGTCTAAAGCATAGCGTTCAACCATTTAAATGCGGGACGGAACGGTGTGGCCGACGAGCATTTAAACTGCATCCAACGGGTGGGGCAGGCCGTGCTGCATCGGAGCGGATCGATCAGTGGTCGTACTAGGGCCGTCTTAACCATATGCGGCGGCGTACGGGTTTTAAAGCCAACAATGCGCCCCTTTTTCAAAAAAAAATACAAATTATTTTTTAATTGTATAGACTGCTACAAAAATATATCATAGTAATGTTATAAAGGTGGATGTTTGTGAGTGTGTATATTTGTTACTTCTACACATCTAAACGGCTGGATCGATTTTAATAAAATTTGGTATGAAGTTAGCTAACACCCTGGATTAACACATAGGATAGGTTTAACTGCGGGAAAATATCCATAATAAGACGCGGGGCACAGCTAGTAAGAAATAAATCACATAAATAAGCAAGCATACGTATGTATATATTATCTTATATATAAAATTCTCGTGTCACAATCTTAGTTACCTCCAAAACCGCCTGACCGATTTTTATGAAATTTTATATGCATATTCCGTGGGTCTGAGAATCGGCTACTATCTATTTTTCATATCCATAAGTGATAATGGTTGTCCACCTGTAACGTAGTGTTCCGAAACCTACAATGCGCCTTCGGGCCAAAATTCAAACTATTGGGTATTGTTACGTAGCGTTCTCATATGGGTTATAACAAATGTTATCCAAGGAAATTGATAGAACACTACGTTACACACCCCTAAAATTTTTTTTGGACAATTTTTATTTTTTTTGGACAATTTTTATTTTTTTATAAGGTGGTAAGTATTAAAAAATACATACAATCTTAAAATTTCGCTTTTACCACCTGCCCCTATTTTTATAGAGGTACAAAGTTCGCTGGGTCAGCTGGTAGTATATGTATGTGTGTATGTATCGTAGAACGTCACGCCTGTCTCCCAGAGGGGTAAGTAAGTATTATTATAGGTCTACTAGAATGAGGAGTACTGATGGCAAATTAAAAAGAAAAAAATAGACAAACGTATGTCCAAGCAAGTTGAAGGGAACAAATGCACAGTGCATTTCAATCATGCCATGAGTTTCTGGCAGACCTATATTAACTTATTTTAAAATAATAAGTACTATTATTCTAAAGAAAATATAACTAGAAAAAATTCCACGCGGACCAGGCAGCAGACGGGACTCGAACCCGCACCCTTCGCAATCCGGGCGAATGCACTGACCAATTATGCTACCGCGGCCCTCACGGACCGCGTCGAAATTCTTTCTAGCTATTCTTAAGCTGCAAGGCAGCGCCATCTCTTCGCATTATAGGTAAACCCACAATGTCAAATGAATACTTTTACAAGTATTAAACATTTGAAAGAAGAAATAGCAATTATAGTTATAATTTTTATTATTTTTAAAGCATGTAACTGCTTGATGTTTAAATCTAAAGAAAATATAACTAGAAAAAATTCCACGCGGACCAGGCAGCAGACGGGACTCGAACCAGCAGTTACATGCTTTAAAAATAATAAAAATTATAACTATAATTGCTATTTCTTCTTTCAAATGTTTAATACTTGTAAAAGTATTCATTTGACATTGTGGGTTTACCTATAATGCGAAGAGATGGCGCTGCCTTGCAGCTTAAGAATAGCTAGAAAGAATTTCGACGCGGTCCGTGAGGGCCGCGGTAGCATAATTGGTCAGTGCATTCGCCCGGATTGCGAAGGGTGCGGGTTCGAGTCCCGTCTGCTGCCTGGTCCGCGTGGAATTTTTTCTAGTTATATTTTCTTTAGATTTAAACATCAAGCAGTTACATGCTTTAAAAATAATAAAAATTAGTACTATTATTATTAATATTATACCCATTTTTTTATTAAATCAACATTCATTATACATGTGTACACATTACATTTTAATTTCAATTTAACGAAATTTTAAATTTGCAAACTTTCAAATGGTCTCAGCTGATTTAATGTCTACATCTCTTTCCAAGTATCATCAGAGCTCAGTCCTGAAGTTAGTTTTTGCTGTAAGTTCAGACATTGTGTTTTTTTTTGTTCAATATTAATCGACTCTCTCCATTGATCAATGTTAAGCAGAAATAAAAAAAAATCTATTGTGTTTTGTTAACAATTCGAATCTCTCGTTTAATTTTACTATTGCCGTGTCAAGTAAAGAATTATAAAAAAATAATTTAAATATTCTGTTTGGGATCTAAGATGGGCTCGTCCGTGGGCTTGTCAGGCAGTTTGAAGGAATTTGGTTTGACAGTCTAGTTCCTCAGCAATTAAAACAGATTCAGATATTTCCTGCTCAAATGCACTATCCGTGCGACTTGTGCTGATATCTTTTCTATTTGTCCGTCGAAAATATGAATCACCGCTATCTTTAATGCGGCTATGACAAACGCGATATTTCCCGCAGAGTGGAAAGAGGCCGTCGTTATCGGAATCCGGAAACCCGGTAAGGACGGCGCCTTTTCCTCTAGCTACCTTCCTATTAGTCTCCTCGAAACACTGGGAAAACTCTACGAACGCGCCCTCGCTAGCCGCCTTAAAGATTTTCTCTTCGCGGACAATCTCAATTTACAATGGTACAGGTACGTACCTGGGCGTTTTTCCCCGCCCCCCACGACAAAGGCTAATAGAGCCGAGGTCCGAGTCTCAGAGATGCCCTCTAGTTGAGCCGACCCCCTCAGGTTCGAGTGGTTTAGAGGCTCCAGACGGAAAGGAAACTCCCCCCGTGGGGAGACGCCATCCGCCTGGAATACTTCTAGAGGCACTCGCCAATTCTCGGCTTGAGGTCCCCTTAGGATCTCGCCGTTCCCCCGGTGACGCTGTAAAGGTCATCTGCGACCAACAGCATACACACTTAAAAAAAAAAAGAGAAAATATGAAAAACAACGCATCGAGTATATTTTATCCATGTTAAAACGGAGTGCTTTTGGGGCATCCACTTGAATTTCCCATAGATGTTTAACAGAGGTATAATAGTCAAAGTTGGTATTTGGGTCATAATAACATCCCAACGAACCGTTGACGCAGAAAAAAAACGTAAATTCCCTGTACTACTGAGAAGAAATTGGTAATTTCTAGAGAACTTTTAGCTGCGTCATTGACCACAAGGTTAAGACTGTGGGCAGCACACGGAACGTAAAAGGCGCGAGGATTCATATCCAGATTTTTTCTAGAGGCCTTTATTTTTTCCTCGCATGTTCGAACCGTTGTGGTATCCTTGGCCACGCAAATCATCGAGTTCAATATCATAAGATTTCATAAAAGAAAATTATTTGCCAAACCCTGTCCAGTGGTATCAGAGGCA